CATACAGGGCACAAACACAATGATGTGCTCTGCAGTGCTTTGACCCTACAACAAGCCACTAACCGCTCTCCATTATTCCCACTCACTGTTGTGCCTGGCGGATGTTAGTCTTGAAATGATTTAGCACATCAATCTCAGATGAGTCATAGACCTCATTTACATGCATAGTTTCTCAGCACAGACTGAGCCTAGCTAATGAAAACTCAGGTAGACATGACTGGGGATAGCCAGGACTACAGCTCAGAAGAGCAAATAAGGGGACAAAAAAGCTAAGCTTTTATTTTTGACATGCTTGAGTCCGGGCACCCTTTGCAGCTGCATACCCACTTTCCCAGTTCACGTATTGCATCCATTGCTCACTTTGTGTAAAAAGTTACATTTTAATAACTACTGAAAGACTTAATCGCTGCAATTTGCTGTACACACAGATATTCCTACAATATGTAGAAAAGTATAGTACAATACCTCACATATTAGACAACAGAACGGATGCTTATATAGAGCAAGTTTCTTGTCCTTGAAGTTTTCTGAACACAGAACATTAAGGTTGCACTCCCCTCCCGCTTATTTGGTTGTTCAGTGCAACAGTTTCGCTTTAAAAATTAGTGCATATGGACATAATGGTCAAAGAACATCACACAAGCAACGAAAAAACTCTAACGTGAACATTTAATACGGAGATCTCCCTGATGCTCCGTAACTCGGTAAATAAGGTGATTCTTGATGAGGCTGTTCCATGAATGCACATTTGACCCTGCTGTGATTTTTGCCATTTTACGTGCATGGAAAAATGTTCTAGTCAGATGATGCAGGAAGGGAAGTGCAGCTTTTGAAATCAATGTAGGATGCAGCCCATTCCAAGCCTGCTTGCCCACATGTTCTGGCTGCATTACCAATGGAAATTAAAAGTCACCTTAAACACTGAATAAGTGAAAGCCTTCCCCTTCTCCCAAAACACCTTGGTCTTTTTTTTATAGTAGCTGCACTGCACATGAATAACAGGGAGTCATCACTACAGCTGTGAGAAGGAAGATTACTCCAAAGCAGTTGCCAGGAAAACCAGTGTCTCCAGCAAAAGGCATACACTTGAAAGAAAGGAAATCTGGTAAGCAAATTTTTGCCTGCAAAAAGATTTCTCTTACGCCTTCTGGTTTGCAGCCTCAGCATTACCCAAAGCATAGAGCATAAATGGAGGGGAAGACAGCCCGAAGCACAGCTAGATTGTTTCTCTTGGCAAATGAAGATGTGAAATTCTCTTCAGTGTTGTAGATGCTAATGATTGTGCAAGGAAAGATTATTTTCTTCTGGTTTGGTTCCCCTGTCTTCCCAATAATTGTTTCCCATGTTAGAACAAAGTTTCACTTGCTACTCCAGAAACTTTGCTGGGATTTTGGCTTCACTCTCTTTGATATAAAGTTTAGAATTAATGAACCTTGTGTGAAGTCTGAAAACTGCCAGAGCGTGCTAGAGAGAGCGGAAATGGACAGCTCCGTTTTAGGACATAAGTAACAGATAACAACTGGATTGAGGGTACAATATGGGGCAATGTACTATAAATTAAAAATTCTAATGAACCAAATTTACTAGCGCAAAATATTTCAGAAAGCAATTAGATTTTGCTTTCCATTCATAACACAGAACTATTTTTGTAGCCAACAGAATTCATTCCAATGCTTGCATGTGAGCTTGCTAGTATGTAGAGAAATAATTGCATTAGCTCTGTCAAATTCAACCTAGGAGAGAGGGAGGAAGAGATATTTCACCTCTTCGCAGCGACCTGCAGAAAAGCAAAAGTTTTCCACTGTGCATGCATGAAGAATGCACACATTACTGCTTCTTTACTGTAGCCATCACCACCCTACACAAAGAATACGCTGAACTTCACAAGTTTGCAGAATTACAGGGCATCCAACACTCCCTGATAAATAGCATCTTATGTTTCCAGCAGGGGTTCTCAACCTTTTCCAAATCATGCCCCACCTTCACATTTTTTGTTTTGTAAACTTGGAGTTTGCCACCTGCCCTAATTATAGTGAGAAGAATACTGCCACCTAGCGTTGCTAATGCATTTGTACAGTGGAGACCAGACAGACTGCCTATATCAAAATGTAAGACAAGTGGTACTATATAAAAACACACCCTTTATCTGTCACTCAGTCTCCACCCTACTCACTCAAGTTTGTTCTAGCCACCTGTCCATCATAAATGAGCAGGCAAGCTCTGCCCCTTCCCTAAGGCATGACCTGCCCCCCCATTTGAAAATTTCTGGCTTAGCGAGACAGCAGAAGGCTCAGCTGGGAACCGTTAGGTTTTCAGTGGACAATCTACACTTGTTAATTATCAGTTACAACTTGTTTAGTACTTACGTGTCCCTTCCTTACAAAAGCAGGAATCAAAGAAGCAGTGGGAGATAACTGGAAAAGCAATGGACGTAGTTTCTGCCATTAATATTTACTGTGTAATTAGCTATAACTACAAAGGCATTGAGAAAATGTCACTACATTAGATTTCTCTATATTATTTATTTTTCATGATGCTTTTTAGGCTACCAGAATGGTTACCAACAATTTATTCTCCAAGCCCCTGGTTATGTATCCACAGATTTTTGGCTTGCTTTCTCCAAAGGAGCTAGTATTGTCGAGACGAGTGGTCCCCAAACTCACCAACCTGTGAATACCTGTCACAAAAATGTCAAATCATGTACCCCTACCTAAAAATCAATATTTCCAGGGATTTTCTCCCTTACCTGAGCATAAACTATAAAAGCTGTGATCTTGGAAACAAAAAATGTGTTTTCATGATACTTATTATCTCTCTCTATATATATAAAAAAAGATTTTTCCTGCCAGGCGACAGAATGACATCATCACATCATCAGCGTCAACAGGCTTGCTCAGCGAAGTGAAAGAGAGAGGAGTAGGCAAGTGTAGCAAGCAAAGGGCGCAGACTGGTACTCATCTATTTATTAATTATGATTATTAATCATTACATTACGAAAATGGCAATACTCTTCCAAGATTTCGCTTGACATGCTTGATAACCAATGCATGTAAAGCCATATTTTATATAATCATTATATTTTCTATTCTTCATTACTGACTTTCCAAGACCATCACGATCATTAGACTTAGATTTTCCATACTTTGGACTTGATGAAACACTAGATGATGTCAAACATTCATCTTCTTTTCATCACACTTTCCATTTTCAGCCACTTGTCCATTACTGGATGGACAAAAATTCATATAAAAACAACACATGGAGAACACTAACAAATGAACAAATTAGTAAACAAGAAGAATCACGTTTCACTAGAGCAAAGTAGCATGCCACAGAACAACTGAGCATCAACTATCTGAGTGATGTTACCACTGCCACACTGGCTACAAGGACCTTAGTTTCAGTTTGGTAAGCAAACACTTTTTCTTCAATCATTACAAATTGTTTTCCTCCAAGAACCCCTTATGAACCCTTTCATGAACCCCTGACCACAGTTTGGGAATCACTTGTCTAGATGAGAGTTAGAGCAGAGGACCACAAGCAGACCTCTGTCTCAGTCAACAACTCAAGGCCACAGAGTAATGTATTCAATATCAGCTCCCTCATCTGTAAGCAGCAAGTAATACTTGCCTGCATGCAAGGGGTCCTATGGATTTGGATATCCTTGAATAACAAGAGAACAGACGCTTTAAGTATTTTTACTTGCTGCTGAGATCTGAACATCTGCCTTCGCTCTCCAACAAACAAAAGAATAGCAAGGAAGCTGCGTAGACACAGCAGATATTGCTTACCATACATTATAGCCCTTCTCTGTAAGATAGGAGTTGCCACATGAGAATTTTCTAGGGATCCAGATAAAACAACCACCACTCAGGATACAATGAGAAGGGAACTGTATGGCAGTTACATTTCAGCTCCATAGAGGTGCTTTTGAGCTGAACAACTTGGAATTTTGCCACAATGACTTTGCTGTGAATTAGTGAACCTCTGATTCACTGTTACACCCTATTGTGGTCACTGTTGGTGAGCCTCTTTGTCCTGTTACGTCCTATTACGTCATCCAGCCAAATGAGAGCCTCTACTTATTTGCATGGAAAACGTGAATTCTGACATTAAGGAAGATACAATAATCTCAGTATAAACTGAACAGGAACAAATCAGAGAAGATTAACGAAACAGAGAATTCATGTAGCAGATGTGTCTCTAGGTTTCACTCCATACTCAGCTCAGAACAATATTACTCAGAACTGAGTTTTAACAAAGCTATTAGTGTGATTTTAGGATCTATCTTCCTGACCAAACTGGACAAGGATTTTTCCTGAGCCTTGTACTAACTCAACTGTGCTAAAGACCAACCTTGCAAAATACAGACTCAGTTATCTGGGGCAAAGAACTTTGACATGCGAGTAAAATACCATCAGATGTTTCATTAGTTGTCATTTTAAAAAACAATTTTTTTGCTGAGGCAGTTATATAATATAGCTTTCAGACAAATAAAACCTGTTTATACTGGTCAAGAAAACCCAACTAAAACCTTGTCAGCAAAACATGGTGTTTTAAAAAGGATGCCTGTAGACTCTAGATTGCAGGGATAACACTCTATAAAAATATCAAAATGCAGAGAAATCATATGATTTTTAAGGATAAAAGACTGTAGCACTGCAAGACAGCCTGCCAGTTTAGATGTCACTAACATCAAACAGCAACACTGCAGCTGCAGCCAAGAATCTCACATCACCTACTGTCCCAAGTGTTAGATGAAGCAAAATGGCCCTGCCTCTAAGAATGAAGATTCCCCCCTCCCCCCCATGTCTCCAAAACATGGCGATTATGCCCTTTTAGATGGCATGGCTTCCTATAAGTTACATGATTTTTTTTTCATTCCTTTGTCAATGCAAGTTTTCAGGGCTGAAGGACAGGAGATACGAGGCAGCTATTTTCAGTTTTCTGTAGTTGACCAAGCAGATTATCTGATTAAATAATGTAATAAATGTACTTACCAAATATTTCCCCTCCGCTAGCATACTCTGTCACCAGATAAATCATCCTCTCCGTCTCCATAACCTGGACACACAAGGATACAAAGTGACAGCTAAAGACACTGCCCAGTGCAAAAGGAAATGAAGCTAATTGCAATTTTCTTTTGTGACTTGTAACTTTGACACAAGCTGCTTTCAGCAAAAAATGTTTAAAAAGTGGATTGCAAAGCTTTAGAGAGCAATGATGGGGCAAGGGAGGGGAAAGCATCATTTTATCAAAGGGGATATTTTAAAGGCCATTTAAAATCTTCTACATCTCACCCCCAAAATACTCCCTCGCTAGTCTCCACTTGTTTTGAGAACCTCAAAGACTTCTCTGGGCTCCCACAGCTGAAAGTTCACCTTACATATTAATCATTCATCGCTCTGAAACACTAAAATAATTAGGGACACTTCTCTAAAGGAGAGACTAGCTGCAGAATTAGCAAGTGACTTTCAAATGACTCAAGATTTATCAATCATAAAAGCCTTCACTTCGCTTTGCTCTAGGGAGCCTTCACATCTAAGGGAGAAGATAATGCCAATCTTTATAAAAGCCTTTCAAGGCACTGGGTGAACACAGTGCTCTCCAACAAATGAAGGCCAGTTACAGTATTAAGACCAGTTCTCCCATTTTTAGTAAGCCAATTAAATGCCAAAATTAGTTCCTGGGAAAAGCGGATAGTGCCACTACAAAGCTGGTTTGCTCTAACAGCGATCGAATAGCAGACCAGGCCTCAGTAAGTTTCTCTATGGACCCCTCATGGTAACATCACCCCAGCTGACGAGAGCTGGCAGAGATAGCTACCCTGACTAAACCAACACAAGCGGAGAATGCAGAAAGGGATCTCCACTTAATTAAGAGGCACAGCCCCAAAATGACATGTTTTAAGCCAGAGCAATTTCTTGATCTCTTACTATCGACACTAAGCGTGTTAGTACTAAAGAGAAGACTGCAAATAGAAATGTTCTTTTACCTATTCGTGCTCTGGACTCAAAACACGCACCCAACTGTGGCACACCCCAATGTAGAGTAGGCAGAGCAGGGCCACAGAGCAAAGTGGCTGAAGCCCTTTGCTCCTTCCCATGAGAGACGGGACAATGGACCCTTAAGAGGAGGGATGTGTAAAAGAAGAGAACAAAGCACCCTGGAGCCACTGCTGCCCTTTTAGGCCTGGGGATGGATAGCCAGGAAGGAAAGTGGCTGGACAAGTAGCTCTTTGCTCAGGATGAGAAGACGAGGTGCCACTGTTGGGAGGGAATGGATCTTCCAGTGGGAAGCTTCAAAGCATGCCCATGATATGTATGCATAGGGGAGTCAGAGATTAAGGGGATACATTATAAAGTAATTTGTTCCAGTTTCCCTCTTCTTCCATCCACTTCCCCAGGGAGCCTCAGACAGAACTTCAGTGTTCATGCATTTGCGCCAAGCAGTGGGGAGACCCTGGGGAAGTGGGAGGAAGGAGAGGCTATAAGGATGTGAAGGGACAGAGGGAGCATTGCACTCAAAGCATTGTAACGAGAGCCACAGGGTGAGATTTTTAAGAGCGTGTGACTGATTCAAGGGTACAATCCCTGGGAGTTGCCATGGAACCTGTACCGATGTGCCATGGCTACGCTTGTGGTCCCGTTCCCCAGGATCAGAAAGAGTAGAGAGAGAAGCCCAGTGGGAACAGTTAGCCTAAGAAAGGCTGAAAGCCGCATTTCCAAAGTTTACGAAATAGGAAATTGGCTGACAGTGCACAATTATCTACAATACATTGAGCTTTTACTGTTTTAAACGTCTCCTGCCCCCTAAAAGCTAATAAATGAGCGTATTAGAGACAAGCCCTTAGATTCAGAATGTGCCGTCCAATGCTACTCAATTGTCATGTGATATGGCTTACAGTTGCCAGTTAATCGTCACTCCACCTATGTGCAAAAGAAACACTGGGGTGTTTTTTTACGACTTCCTGTAGCCAGGCAAACCTGGTTTCTCACATTTTTTCAGGTACTGGACACACCTTCTCTTCTTGCATTTATTGGCTGAGAGTGTTACAAACCCTAAGAAATGTGCCTTTCAAATTCTCTAATGAAGGGCTGTGGAGGAAAAGCTTTAATGACCAGAGGCTTTGATTTCCCTGGCTTCAGGTTGTGCAGGTGTTTTATAATAACGAGTAGTCCAATCGTACATCACTTCAAAGCTCAGAATAAAATTTCTGTAGAAAGCACCCCTCGAATAGCCAGCTGAAACACCACACAGAGGATGCTCTGTTCTAACACCGGTGGAGCTGAGACACGGCTGCCGTCTCTCGATATTCTCTCTGGGGTTTTATATTGCATAAGCTAGGAAGACAAGCGCTTTTGGCTCAAAAAACCATTACAGGCACCAGCTCTTCCAGAGAGGATACTGTCTCTGCATTGTTACCCCGCAGAACTCTTCAAATGACTGTCACAGGCCCCTCACTCACAGCTCTCTGGCCAAGGTATCAAGTCATTAACCTTTTCCACCCAAGAGTCTCTGTTTTACTCCCGCTGAGTCTCGAATGCCACTGATTGCAGCGAGACGTGAGCTAGAAGCAGCTTTGCCACAAGAAGACAGCAGCTGTTCTGAGGGGAGGGCAATCTCTACGAAAGCTCAGGGTGCCCTCTCTTCTTGGCAAACATACAGAGCCTCATTAAATTACAGGGGAAACAAACCCCTAAATATTGCAACTGACACCTAAAATGTTCAATGCTCCCAGCCAGCAGAGTCAAGTAGCTACAGTCATCATAGCAGACTTTCAGTTCTAAAGCATCTCTGGCAATCCAGTCTCTTCTCAAGTTGAACTTAAAGCATACCCAGTCTGAGAAGCCAGCAGCATTTTGCCCACTTCATGATCCAGCCTTCGGGAATGGCAGACAGCTGAATGTGACAGAACAGTTTCATTGGCTCATGCAAAAGAGGTCACTGCTTTCCAATTTAACCTATTGGCTTTGAAGCGGGAACTAAAGGACTCCTGCACCAGTTAATTTTATTTCTGCATCTTCAGCTCAGCAGATTGTAGCTGAAAGACAGTTCCGCTGCAGACTGCCAACCAACAAGCAATGTTGGCAGGATACAGGGAAGGGAGATTTTTTTCCACTGTGTCACGAATTGCCACTCCAAGGAGATCGAGGACCCAAGCCTTTTAGAAGACATTTCAAGTTTCACCAAGGGCACAGTCCCCAATTCCTTCTCCTGTCACTTCTCAGATGCCCTCTTGCTTCTGGCTTCCACAAAGGGGCTGGATCCTTTGTGATGTCCCACCTCATCCGTTATCGAGAGTGGCAGTGTGTACAAACCCACACCACAGCACAGACCCATGGGGCTGCATCCCAAGGGGACCTTTCCCTGGTGCTTTTGTTTGCCAAGAAAAGCAAGCCAGAAAAGCTGGAGAAAAATCTGCAACAAAACACAGAAGTGACGCTACCACCGCTACTGTCCCTGATCACCTTCTGCTGAGGACAACACAGCTAATCTGAACTGGGAAATTGAAAGGTGCACAATAGCCGTAAACAAATGGAAACTGGCTGTCCTCAGAGGACAATTGATCTTCCGGTGAAACAGAGGACTGGCTACGGAAACACAAGGCTTTTGGGGAGCTTCTTTTTTTAAACCAAGTGATTTTGTAACAAAGATTGTTTCCTTATTTTACTCTTCTGAAAGTACAGGGTTATCCCTATGCATGCTAATGCTCCCCAGCCTACACCCGTGGCACAGCCTGCACAGTGAGGCAAAAGCCCATCACACAATGCTCAGACCTGATATAATCTGATGATATGTGGGTGGCAGAGCATCTTCATAATCTGAACTTCTCTAAAAATCTTCTTGAGATTCTCTTCATCCAGCTGGGTCTTGTCAATGATCTTTATAGCAACCTGGCAAAGGAGAGAAAGAAAAGGGTCACTCACTCAGTCACTATTCAGAATAGTACTAACTTTTTGTATCATCAGCATCTAGGAGCCTTCAAGGACCAGGACCCCCTGTTGCTCGGCACTGTGCACACAAAGAACAAATGCATAATCCTGATTCCAAAGCGCTCAGTTTTAAGAACTGTTTAGCTGATTCAGGGAAACCCTCCCACTTCAGTACAGATTGTGCACGATAAACATGCAGGAGCTGCATTTCATTGTTTGATCATCACTGAGGAAAAAACAAATGTACCCCACTGAAGTGTGCAATGCTGCGGTCACCACAGCATCAGCAACTAGTCAGAAAAACAGCTTCCTGGAATCCTGGATTGAGTCCCCAGAAATTCCCAGCTGACATTTGTTCCATTTACAAGTCAAAAGATGGCTTCCAGCTTGTCGCCACCACATCTTAACCTGCAAACCGTGCTGCTTGTATATTCATTTTGTGCTGATGAAAGGTGCCCAGCTCCGCCTGAACACTGAAATCCCATTTGTCAACACAACAGGCAGCAACAGTGCAAGACAGACATTTCGCCAGTGCAACGTTCAGTCACTGCAGATCTGGACCAGCATCTTCACCAATCCCTGAGCCGTCATGGGGAGAAAAAAAGAACATTTCTGGTACCTATAAGCTGATCTGGAGGTGTGAATTCCAAGAGAATAGAAGCTGCTTTTGTAGTTAGCAAGCCATTCACAGTCTTTGTTTAATCCAGAGTTGATTGTGTCAAACTTAAAGATGAACTATAGCTCAGCATGCATCTGACGAAGTGGGTCTTTGCCCACGAAAGCTTATGCTCCTACACTTCAGTTAGTCTATAAGGTGCCACAGGACTCCTCGTCGCTTTTGCAGATTCAGACTAACACGGCTACCCCTCTGATATAAAAACTGGGTTCATTTTATCTGGAACCACAAACACCTAAAAAGCGTTAATCCCACTGTTACTACACTGTATCACTACAAGGCAAAGTGTAGTTTGTCGGGGAGCCCTATCTGGGCATTTCCATATCTTAGCACATTTAACTTCTTTGACACAGACCCTTAACAATGAATTTCCTGTGTTTATAATGCTTGGCTGGGGGACAAGTACAACATCTCTGCAATAGTTTTACCGTAACTTACTGTTATGTACTTCCAACCTTAACATAAAATTTTGCCCGGGAATAATAATTCAGATGGGAAGGCTCAATCTACACTCCCAAAAGTGTAAGTGTAAAGGCTCAATCTTTGCACCCCCAAAGAGCAGGGTTATTTTAATTCATTTTATGAAGGGCATGTCAGTATAGAAGTGGGAGAGGCTTCAAAGGGGTAGAAAGTCAGTGAGAGGAATCAACAAACTGTGTCAGCCTTGATCAAAGCAAAATTGAGAACAGATGAATGGCGAGGCCAAGCCAGGAAAACCTTCCCACCTACGGTAAAACACAGCCAAGAAGTTCAGTGGGACCAAAGAAAAAAAAATCCACTGGTACCTTCCAATGCCCATCATCAGAAACCATTGGAATAAAATATTAAATGGGGGGAAGGTAGGTAAAGGGGGTTTATTTGATTAAAAACTCAGCATCTGAAAACTAAAAAAAAAAGATTTTTAATTCATGATCAACTGAAGCATCCATCACAAACCCAGAGAACAAAACTGACATCAGTGAAATTCACTTTGCTCTACATACGCGTAACACACCTTGGTGTTAGCCTCTTAGGTGAAATAAGCAGACAGGATCAGTCAGGACAGGACGGTTTGTACTGCAGTTAATTGTACAGGTATTGTACCTTTTCATGAAGCAAGCCACACCACCTGTCTGCGCCTATATAAAGGTATCAGTGCATCATATTCCAGAAGATGAAACTTCACCTATATCATCACCAGCACAATTTAAAGTATGTTGGTTGGAAATGGACACACAGGCTGCCCCATTCTTTGGCCTTATTCCAACTAGTCTGAATCCCCATTTTCTCAGTATAAGGCTGAGTTGCGCTACCATAGGTCACATGTCAGCTCCAGCCTAGGGATGTAATAGTGTAGTCGATTAACTGATAAGCAAAAGCTATAGACTGCATGAATTTCCCTCCCTCTCCCGCCAGCCAATACATTTTTTAGCAGGCTGGCCAGCAGCCCGGCTTAGTCCTGGCTTGCAACAGGTCCGGAACCAACCCCTGTTGCAGATCTGCATTTAAAGCATATTAGGAGTCATGTAGACAGGCAGCCCAGCTCAGTTCCGAATCACACTGAGTCCAGCAACTCAAACCACCCCGCCCCCAGACAGGAGCTGCTGCCGCTTTTTCAGAGGCAGCAGCGCGGGGTGACAGGCAACTGGTCCGCGAGGGGAGCTGGTTTTTAAACAGGCCCCCCCCCCCCACAGACAAGCTCCTGCCTGGTACCCTGCGCTGCTGCGTCTGATACAGAGGCAGTAGCACAGAGTGGCAGAGGGTTCCCTGGGAATGAGGCCGGAGTGCACTGCTGCTGGCCCCGCTCCTGGGGACTACAGAATAGTCAACTACATCGATGAGAATTCATGAAGTTAATCGACTATTCAATCAACCAATATTTAACAACGCAACTCCAGCCCTAGACACTGAGCTGTCTGATCAGCTCTGCATATAGACTGGGTCCTCGTTGTTATGAAACTGGCAAAGGCAATGTGAACGATCCATCAACTTCTAAAGGATAGACAGCGTTTCTGCTTAGATGGAGAAGGTTTAGTTTGCTACGAAACCATCTGTTTCATCTCATCCCTGGCTTTGTAATAGGTGCTCACTAAAAAGTTAAAAGCTATTTTTAAAGCAATGAAAAATGGGATTAGGTGAAAAACAAAGTCAATGTTTCAATGCTAAAGTAAGTGGTCTTCTGAGAAGTCCCAGGCTGGTCCTCGCGCACAAGTGCTTCTTCTCTTGAACTCCTTTCCACTTTTCTTATCCAGGAGTAATGTGTAGGCCTAGCACACAAGGCTCAAAGTTAAAATCAGACACAAGAGTCTGTTGTCTGAACCCAAAAATATACCCGTCACAAAACACGTGCCCTGTAGTCCTCCCGGGTTTTGCCTCTGGAAAACCTAAGACTATAGTGTCGGCTACACAAGTATGGTAGAAAACGAAAGTAGACAAGCACTTCAGGAAAAGGAACACTGCATTTCCCCAACTTCAAACTACTTTTTAAAAATACTGAACTACACTGGAAAAATTAAAAAGCTTTTTTAAAGTGTGCCAGTACAAGGACTGGGCTTTGATCAGATGAGAGCAACATATGTCCATCATACATGGAATCTGAAAGCATCTGGATAAAGACAGATGTCTGCTCTGCAAATTGTTGAGCAGCTGCGCAGTGCTATCATCCGAAGGAGAAAAACTAGCTCTTGCTGCACTGCTATCCACAAACCATGGCAGAGTACATGGGTAAGCAAAATGGAGTCTGCTCCCAAAGACAGAAAGGAATCCCACCGATGGAAACAAACTGATGTGTGCTGTGGGCATCCATGGAAACGCTGCAAGTCAAAACCCTCCGCAGCACAAAACCCCTCACTAAAAAAATAACCAGGATACTTGGCAATGCAAGAAAGACAGCTACAGAGAGTGAACAGTGATGAGAAAAATGAAGTCTATGATCTGGGGATCCACCCACAAATTTTCTTGTTTAGAACTGGCATTTTGCACCAGAAAAGAATCACAATACAACACATTCTGTGGGTGTGTTTCTTTGATTTGCTGTAGCGGTATTTCCAACAGTCAATGTCAAGGAAGGGTAGGTACCATAAGCCCACCACGCTGACGGAATGGCATGAAACATGCATCGTTATCCCTTTATAACGGCTTTCCCAAGGGCTGATTAAAAACACAGCCCAAAGCCATACAGCAGACCAAATGTCACTTTCTTTTGTAATACAGTAATGAACATTCTCTGCAGATTGCTTTTGGGCCAGAAGCTCATTCCTGGGATGATGGAGCTTCACAAAGCCCAATAAATTCCCTGCTGCCGCTTTGCTGGGAGGCTTCTAAACCAGGGAGTAGCAAGATACCAAGAGGCCACACACACTGGATTTCCTTTCACCATTTAATGGAACATTAAAAAAATCACAAAAAATGCTTGTTCAGGGGGATGTGATTACCCAACCACATTAAAACAATAAGAAAACGTGAACACGAGAAACTGGAAAGCCCAATTACATAACACTTTGCTTGCAGAAGAGTCAAGACTAAAACATTCGCTGAGACTAGGGCAAGCGTTTCATATACTGGGACATGCCATGGCACAAGATCTGAAAGACATACTCACTATTGGGAAGTAATCTGGGAAGCCAGACAACATTATGAGTTGCATATCCCTACCAAACGCTGCTATCAGTTGGGGAGAGCGGGGAAAGAGAGGAAGGGAGGGGAATGGATTGCAGACCCTTTCAAAATCTGCAGTAAGATTGTTCTAGGTCCCACGAGCACAGCTACACAAGATACATCAACTTGATGTGTTGAGAGAGAAAGCTCATCCTGGTCTCTTCCCCAAACAGCTACCGACCTACAAGAGGTCTGAATATTACCCCCTGGCTCCATAATTGCATGTGCACTGTGAGCTAGCAACCCAGCAGGACCACCCTACTGACTCTGTTCTAAAATCAAAAGTGCCCTGCGGCCAAATGCTGCTTTTGAAAGGGAAATGAATGTGATGAATGTGGGGGAAAGCTGAGGTGAAATGTAGAAACATGTTGCGAAGATGTTTCATAGTGACTTAGGATCTCTGACTCAGATTAAATAACTACTAGTTGAATAGCCACAGAGATTAGTGTGCATGAAATTTCACATCCATGTAGCACTACAGGCTACATGAGTTAAGGGCTTTACCCTGGCATTTGCACCTTGAATGCAAAACAGACTCATATTTCATGTGGAACTGAATGTTTCCATAGCAAACTGTAAACAGGCATGTAAACAGGAGGCTTAAAACACTAAGAACATGCCTAACTGAGGACATTTGCTACCTTGGAAT